GAGAGAGAGAGAGAGAGAGAGAGAGAGAGAGGACACCTTGTGACCTTGCCCTTTAGTCCCTTGACCTTTGAAATTTATTTATTGCTTTTTGTTTTTTTGTTTCTTGTTTTCAATAAAAAAAATATTACAAAACAAAAACAATAAAAATATTCAGCGCATTGTTTGGCAGACGGTCACCGTCACAGCAGTGCCGCAGTGGAGGACTGGAGGACTGGACTCTGGACTCTGGAGGTTGGGCTGTGGAGTGTGGACTTGTTGTGGACTAGTAGACGTAGTGGAGGCTTCGAGTCTTCGACGCGAAGATCCCCGAGCTCGGGGCTAGTGATCGTGGTTGTCACTAACTCATTAAGCGAAAGGAGCGTCTGCCCAACAGCCCAGATATGTAACCTGGCCAGGTATGAGGTCGCGACATGTCGTCTAAAATACAAAGTAAAAGATTAAAAACCGTCGCGACATGTCGTTAACGACATGTTTTCTAGATGTCGTCTACAGGGATGTCCATGTTAGTCCACCGTTTTTGAGTTCAGGTGCAATGAACCGAGCATACGAAAATATTATTGATGGATATTTTAAAAATAATATCTTATTGGGCGTACGATTGTTTTTTCAGAACAAAAAGGTGCAGGTCCAACTTGACCAAACGACATTGACGTCTCGACATGTCGCCTAAAAAAGCAAGTAGAAGACCGTCGCGACGTGTAGCCAAAGCCAAAAGACATGTCGTTTACCAGGCCAACTGATATCTGATAAGGTAGTATGTAAATAAAAGGTCCTGAGCCTGAGGCCTGAGCCTCAACTCTCAAGTGCCCAACTGCCCACGCCCCACATGCCGATTGCTGCCTCTCTCTCTACCGTAGCGAGAGAGCGCTGCTGCGGCCTGGTTTTGTTTTATTAAAAAAAAAGAGTTTGTTTGTTTGTTCAGATGTAGTTTGATAAACTTAGTTGAACATGAAAACTATGTTTGCGATTCATTCTATTTATAACCTCTGCTGGGTATGTAGGGCCCATAAAAAAATTATAAATCATCCGCATCGGGCCAATGGCATCTCATACATACATGCTATTTTATTTTTAAATATTATGCATATTCATTTTATAAATATATTTTAAAACAACTACCCCACTGTAGCAGAGTATCAGAGCAGAATCCAGTTTGCTTTGAAAAAAAAGCCAAAGTTTGTTGTCTAATAATATTTGGTCGACAGGCATCCCGGGATATTTACCAAGAGTATTTTTAAAATTTACAGAGCACATATTTAGTTTAGTCTTCTATAGCAAAATCAAACAGTTGTAGCCATTGCCAAAATAAAACTGAAGCGAGTCTATGACTCTGCGACCTGCGTGGCCGCGTCCTCCAAATGGCAAAAAGTGAAGAAAAACCTATTTACCTCGTAACCTCCTTTATTTAGTTTGTTTTTGTTTTTGTATTTAGTATTGTTTTTAAAAAAAACAAATCATTTTGTTTAATAAAAAAAGAGATATGTATATTGCTATGTAAGGAAAGTTACGAGTATTTATCCAGTACTATTTGTCGAAGTATGGCTGGGGATTTGTTGCTCTTGGAACCTGGCCTGGTAAACGAAAGGGACTTGTCTTCTGAATAAACTAGTTTTTAACCCGTAACTTAGACCAATATCAAAAAGTATTTTGGACTCCTGACTGTAATAAAAGACATGTTCGGGGACATGCCGGGATAGCAACCTAGTTTCCGACGGTCTCGACACGCCGTCATAACGAGATTTGCTGTCTTATACCAGACCCGTTTGTGACAGGTAGTGATTCTTTTCAAAAGATATAGAAAGAGTGTTTTTAAAAGTATGATCAGACAGATAAGGGGTTTTGAACTCACATTGTGAGCCTGTCACATATTGCGGTAGAATTCTATGTCTGGAGGGGGCTCCACCGCTCCAATGGCTGTCAATGCCACAGGCTGGGTCAAAGTGGTGGATATACTAGGACCTCTGGTCGAGCATACATATTGGTAAATTCCCGTGGTAATGGGTATATTTCCTGCCATCTTTGAATTGCTGAATGTCGGACGAGGCTTGAGACAACAACTGTTATGAGATATTGTGTGCCAGATGAACATGTCCTGGCCGACTCTTTTCATTTGTTGGGACAAATGACAAAATATTTAGGTACAGTAAGAATTTGTCAGTCACTGACTCACCGGATATGGCTTAAAACCAAGGTCGCTAGGGCGAAAATTAATTTTTGAGAGTCGGACTAGTTGCTATGGAATGAATATAAACTGGTCGACTGGGATCCGCATGAGGTGAATTCTTGTGTTCAAGCTACTTTGGAGTTTGGATCAATGATTGTTTGATGTGCGGCTGGGTGGCCAGCACTCTGATTGTTTACAATCTCATCACAGTTGCCTTTTAATTTTTTTTAAAGTAATTCATCATAGTATTCAGAAGATAAAAGCAATGAAATAATATATTATAAACAAAAAATAAAATCATTGGACTCGTTCAGATGAAACCGATCGTAGCTGGTGAAAGTATCTATTGCTATCATTGGGCCCTCTGGCCTCTAGTATTTAAACAGTGGGTGTTATCAATGAGTTGTCACACAATACAATTTGCTGATTAGCAGAAGTCACTGTCTCATTAACACTATGCGAAGTTCCAATTTGATCACCATATTTGCCTTGGTGGCTACAGCAATGGCCACGCTTTCCCGGCCAGACCGATCGGTCGCCAGATGCTCGGACTGGTCTGGAACGTGCGCGCCAGGTAGCACTTACAACAGAGTTTCGGATGCACTTAAGTGCGAAACCGATAAAGACTCGGATGCGGCTTGCCTTATCAAGTGCTGCGTAGAAATTGAGAAGATCCCGTCTATTAAAGCCCAGGCCACCACACCACCCAAAGCCCAGGTCGCCACGCCACCCAAAGTCCAGGCAGACCCACTTCCCCGAAAGGCCCGATCTGTTGCCAGATGCTCGGACTGGTCTGGAACGTGCGCGCCAGGTAGCA